GTCGTCCCAACACTCGTGTATTGAACAATGACAAAATAAATTAGTGTCACAAGTTTGTCTCTTATTGAATCTAGCGGTGTTCGACTATCGCGGAAAAGGTTCAAAAACGACCTTTCTCCAGACATTAAACTAAATTCATGCCCATTTTCCCTTAGTCAAAAGAAACATCCGAAAGGATGCCAGTTCGCATGCATTAACGATACGCATGTTTTGAATTAAAAACATACTTTAGTACGCACTGGAACGTAAAGATGATGTTTTCACTCAGTTTTGTTGGGGGTTCCAAATCCGCTGGGACACCGGGACGACGTATCGAGTTATTTGAAGTACTACCAGCTATCCAGCGAAATCCTCGATTACCAGTTAATTTTGTTTTGTTTCGGTCATTTTGACCACAATATGGAAAAAAATATAACAGTTATTGGTATGTTCTAAACATCCGAACACTTTAAGAAACATTGGAAATGCGGTGAAAGTACTTGTTAACAGCCACAGCACAAGAGAAAATGTGAGGCAGTAAAAGAAAGCCAGACTGACTGGGGATGTTTCTGAAGTTTTCGGAATTAAAGTTGTAGTCGGGTCACATGGGTAATATATTTGCAATTTCTCGAGAGTGAAGGCTACTATATAACTAAAAATTGGTTCGTAAGTTCCTATCTGGGCTATCTGCAATAGCAGACAAAATCAGAATTCTCTTGACAAAATCAAAGGACAAATTGTGTCAGGACGAATTTTTGTCTCGATTTTTGCATCCGCTTAAAACTTCAAAACTGTCAAATTTCTTCAGAGCTTGATCTACACATGAGACCAGCTGGCATAGTTTACCAATGGACTCAAACTCCAGTTTCAGGATTCACCGTACGTCGTTTCAAAGTTTTAAAATCCACAAGTTTCGCGACAAAAGAAAGTTAATGCCTTCCAGGTAAATTTTAGTGAGTTCAATAACAAGCTGGTGGCAGCTTTCGCGACAAATGGTGTTGAAAACTCAGTCTCCCTTCACTGCTTCACATTCTTCTTTTTGCTCTGGATGCTAAAAATACTTTTACTACATTTCCAGTGTCCTCTCAGGTGTTCTGGTTCCAAATCAGGGCTGAAATACCTAAAGCCATTCCAATCTTTGCTTTCCATGAATCAAGTAAAAATTTAAACGATAAAATTCTCATTAAAATGTAAAATTCTTCAGTCCATTTGAATAACTCTCGATTCTAATTCGTTACATTAACTAATTTTGGCTCCAACTTGTAGAACCTGCGAAACAGGTCGCATGACAGAGAGAAAAGTTTGCATAATCACATCACGCAATATATCAAGCTGGGTTTGTCCAGTTGATTTTGATAGTCGCGGGGAAATGTCGAGTTTGTCGCTCAAAACCGTTGTGGTCCATACGAGCGTAACATCATTAATGACGGAAACAAATTTGCAGAAAGGAGGATTAGTTCATCGGGTTCCGTATACTAAATCTTGTGAGAAGCTCCAAGAATTATTTCAGAGTGTATGCGTGTTGTTTTATAAATATAAACACTGTAACCTATTTTAACTTGTTTTTGTGTCCTTTTAAGCAACGCGATATGTCTTTTATGACCAGAGTGCCAAATTTTATTCTTTAATTTTGATGTTCTCTACACTGTGCGTAGTTCATGACCTGATATTTCAACGTAAATTATCGAGAAGGCGCCTTCCGATCACTTTTGTCTACTTTGTAAGTCACGCAAGCGCGCAAGCGTTACGACCGATCACGTTTACGCAACGTTTTAGGACAACTCGGCATCTAATCTCCATTCAGTTGCTGTGAAAACCTAAAATTCTCAACGTAGAAGGTAAACGAACGAAGTTTGAACGGTCAAAAGGAGATCTTGGCCAATTCTAAGAATCATACAAATGATCTTTGACACTCAGCGCAATTGAGCAAACACATGGATTTGCGTTGTTTTTAAGAAGTTGCTCGATTAACGCCTGCATTTTGAGAATTCTTTCGTACAAAGTAGTGAATTTTTGATATGCAAATTAAGGTGGAAGAGAAGGGTCTCCTCTGATCACGCTGGTATGAAAAATATTTCAGCTGAAGTTTCCATATTATGTCTGTGAACTAACTGAATACACCTTTTAACTTGCAGCAAGATAGAATTCCGTGAGCTACATTGTTACAGTCGCTGCGCGCTGGACAAAATCTTTGAAATTTACACTTTGGATCGCTGTCCACAGGGGTAGTCTGGCCAAAAATCATTTTTGGCTTGTGGCGACGCAAAAAAAGAGAATTGGAGAACAACTAATCTGTTTTTGAAACATATGTCCTAAACCCTTTTCATGGGCAAAAAATAAAAGAAAACTTTTTTCCGACGGGAAGTCGAGAGGACCGCTCTTAGCGGGAGCGGCTCTTAAGTACTCTAACTACTGGTATATCTGTATTTCAGATTAGTGTACTTAGCCTTTTATTTTGTCTCTATGGTTAGCCAGGATATTGAATTCAACTAAAGAAAGTTGTTTGTACCAGTATAAAATGCAGCCCAAATGATCCAAATATATTCCTATCTGAAAAATTCATCTAAGACATCCTTGAATGGAATGTAATCCAACGGAGTTCATCGAAGAAAGAAAATACATTTACAATACAAAATAAATTTCAATAACCACACAGGTAACATTTGATTTATCTTCAGCTTGTGAGGAACAATGTGAACTACTTACTTTCACTGTAATTTTCGGACACAGTAAAAATTTTAAAGTAGGGATGATTGTGAGCATGTATTGCCTAAAAATAGTTATGACGTGGCAGATTTGTATTTAAAAATATCATAAACTGAACAAATTAATAACAAGTGAGGGAAATTTGGAAAAATTTTTAATTCAAATACGAAATACGTGTATTTAAACTTACTCTTTATAAAATTATCATCTGTAGTTTAGTGTCCTCAAAGACTCCCTTTCTCATTTTTCACGAATTTTATGAAAGTCCAAAAGCACTTTTCTTTAATTAAATGGGGGCTAGTTAAGATTTTTAACCAATATGAAGATGTGTCCTTCATGTCCATAGAAACACCTTCTGGAAATTGATCAACTGGAAAACGAGGTTAAAAGGTTTTTGTTCTATTTTCTTTTGCCCAACCTGTTTCATGGAAAATTAGATTAAGGGATGTTGAATAAGGTTCTGTTTCCTAGCTATTAACCCAAAAGTCACAGAAATCAATTGGTATACGGTACTATGCACTCACTACCCTGGCTCTCAATAGGCAGTCTCCTTCCCAAATCAAAATTCTCAAACAAAACTTCCTAAGTTGAAATGTTATAAGCAGGGTTAGTTGACAAATTTGGTACCAAACTTAATTTTGCCCTTCCCTCTCCTCCCTTGCAAAGTAAAATTGGAGCCAGTTGGGAAGCTAGGACAGATTAACCATTCAACCATGAAGAATCAAAGAACTGATGATAATTACTCATACTGTGTGACAGATAAACTACAGACATCAACAGTTATCAAATACAAAATGATTAATGGTTATTTTGTAAATAATCTAGATCAAAGTATTACCTAAGGTGGCATAAAGGAACTTGAACACCTTTTTGATAACCCAAAATTAGAATAAACTTTCTCTCCTAGGTGTTAAGTTAAGTATCTTATATATGCATGAGGTATTCACAAGGAAACAAGTCCATCTGTCACCATTTTGATATAAAAGTGCTCATAAATTTCTCTTCTTCATGGAAAGTCAGCTCTGTTTCTACTGTGTTGTGTCCATATATATCCCCCTCCCTATCAAGATGAAGATTTAGTGATGTTGGACAGAGACCAAGATCATTTTTGGATATCCAACTATGAAGAAAACGAAATAGACATGAACTTGGTTATCATTATCAGAGTAGGTTTTCAGGTGCAAGTGTATGCAAATGTCTCTACTTTTTGGCCATGTTGTTTTGCTACCATGTTCCAGCTATATAAGATAACCCTTGCAAGAGAACAAAATAACACACCCCACATTCCTAAAATAATAATGATATCAGTTTTAACAAAAGATAAAATTTATCCTATAAATTTTAGCTAGTGATCACACTGATTTATTTTTGACACTTTTTCTGACCACTATTTTTGAAATGAGGCTCTACATGAACAATTACAGAAAGATGACCCACGGTTGATCTCAGTTTACATGTACTCTGTAGTGTTATCACTGAAACAGAAGAGGGGTGCTTATTAGTATAGGGGTAGTTATTGGAATTAGAATGCTTACTGAATAGGTGCACTTCTTAACAAAAACAAATTAGATGGGGGTGCTTATTGGAGAGGGAGCACTAATTAGAATGAGGGCAGTAAATCAAACAACAGTAGGTCATCATTCTCTTGTTCTCTCTCAGATGTCTATTCTCTCTATAAGATAATGGTCATAATTCCAACTCCTCCATCTCCACCCTCTGCTGAACTTTACAACACTAAGGTTGAAAGGCTCACTTATACTAACTGGAAGGTCACTGATGTAAGTCTATGTGACAAGCTTTTGCTATTTCTTAAAAAACCAGTGTAGTAAAACTAAAGAAAGCGTGACCCTAGCGCATTGAAATGTGACCTGTCATCCCAAGTTTAAGAATAGATCAATTACTAGGTTATCGAAAAGCGGAAATATGATCCTTGTAACATGCAAAAATGTGTAAAGTGTAATCTTAATAGAACAGGATTTACGTAGGTAAATAGGGTAGAACAAAGCATCATGCTCTCGTTCAGATTAAGGTGTTTACTAGAAAGGAAACTACATGCCTTCCCTCGCATATCCAATCACGTAAAAAATAGCCACCAATAAAGTATATAAGTACTTTGATTTAGCAAATAAAGGTAGATGTAATTAGGACTAGAGTGTGTGCAAGTCTCTCTTCGTTGAGAACCCAAAAACCGGCCAAGTCTAGAGTAAAACAAGCAGTCGGCACTTATCTGTTGGCCACAAAACCTTCCAAATTGTCTACAAATTATGTCAGCCTGACCTGTTCCCAACTACCGGTATCTCCGAAGTGGAAAGTTTTCAAAGTTCGTCACCCATCACATAGTCAACCTTGCCTGAAATAGTCTTACAACCAGACAGAGAAAATACCTTAATATCATTTGGAAAGTATGATATTTCATCTGCCACCATGTTTAAGATGAAATCTGTGACTGGGTGTCCTTTTTCTTCTAAATCGGCTTTGGCACACATTTTAACGTGAGGTCTCTCCATCGGCAGAAATGGAATAACGTGATCGATGACAGAATTATCAATTAGCGAGGAATGCCAAAGTCCACCTTCGTTACGATGTTCTTCGAGATGGATTTCTCTTTGTATGTCTGTGATCTTGAAATCTTCTCGTTTCTTTCCGTCTTTCATGTGTTTTAAAACAGCCGCATCGATCGAATCACCCCCTCTATTGCTAAGAAATATGAAGGTACTTTTACGATAATCGATCTTGCCTGCATCAGGAGGGTGGTAATCTAAATATGGTTTAAGCACATCTATGAGGCCTGTGGGCATTTTGTCCATTTCGTCGAAGATAAATAGCGATCTAGGACACTTTGTTACAGAATCTTTCACTCGATTACGCAGCTGTTCCTTGTAAATGTCAACTTTGGGCTGATGAGGGTATTCATGTGTAACCATGATCAGATGAACATGGTCACTCTTCAGTCCCTTCTTGAAGATATGTTCGGCAATTATTTTGCTCACAAAGTTCTTTCCCGTCCCTGTCCCGCCGTTGAAGGAAAGCACTAATGCTTTTTTAGGCGACGTATTCTTCAAATGTGCGCCAAGAACCTTTGGAATGGTCTTTGTGACCAAGTGTTGACCAAACACCCGCCTTTGAAGGGTTGATTGTAAACCGGCAGTCATGTTGGGTTTAACCCATGGGTGACTACAGCTTTCGGTGAAGTGAACATAATAAATTTTAGGTGCAAAATAGGCACCTACAACAACAACAACAACTCCCAAAATACTTTCAGTACGTACCGCACTTGTCATAGGTGCACACAAAATTGTCATAGGTGCACACAAAATTGTCATAAGCAGCACAAGTCTGACCATGTTCGCCATAATTCTGCAGTATAAAGACGAACGCTTTAGTGGCGTATAGCAGGTGTCTCAGAAAACTTTTCGTATTATTCAGTACAATGATTTTCATTGGTTATCATAAAATAAGTCAAATAGTACGCGCGGCAACTTGGAATCTGTTTGTTTTATATAATAAAGAATTTAAAAAAGTTTAATGATGACGTCGTCTATACGTCTGTCCTCCAATAGATCATGAGTAAGAACCAATCAGAATGCATGCATAACTGAGCTTATTATATAAACTCTCATAGAGCATGCTCTTTTAACCAATGACAGCGTTGTATCTGAACTTTATAAATAATATTTAATATTAATAAAAATATTAACATTAACATTATTAACATTAACATTATTAACATTAATAAAAATGAATTAAGCGAGAGGAGTTAAGAAAGAGGCTGGTGCAATTTTTCCCAGTTTGTGCCAAAGAGGATTAGACGTAGGGGATCAAAGAAGACATCTGATTTAAGAACTACGGTCACCACCGCGACTGGTCAAGATGATTTAGAAAATCCTATTCATCAGGCGTTGCAACCTAGACCAATTGTGGATGCTTTGCTGGTAAGTCTTAATTTTGCATCTATTAAAAATATTTTCAATTCTGTTTTTTTACAGTCATTTTAAGCTTAAGTTCTTCTAGCATGTACTCTATAAATTATATTTGGGTGTACCACATGTCCGGAAAAGATCGGGAAAGAAATCATGGAAGTTTATGGGAAGTTGGCATATTGGCATGTTAAAAAAAAATTAAGGAAAACTGATATCTGATGCCTTTTCACCTAAACAAGACTTAAACCTATTAATACATCACTGTATACATGCAATATAAAATATCCTAATTGCAGACCCTTGGTATTCATAATTATTTTTGATTTTGTTTAATATTTTATATCTAATGTTAAATATTTATTTGTAGTTTGGGTTTTCTGTCCCGTAGTTTCTAGTGCATCTTGTACATGTATGAGGAGGTTAGACGTTTTGCGAGTTGGCACAAATTGTTTTTGGTTTGTAACCCTGGGGCGCATAAAAAATGTGTTTTTTTCAAAGTAGCTATGTAGGTTACTCATAACTAGATGTAATGTGGTACTTGTGCTTATGCCAAACAAAATCAATCTTTTACCTTACAAATTTTTTATCCTCTACCATCAGGAAGTCAAATATGTGATTGTTGAAAGAGAACCCAGGGATAACATTTGGATCTATCATTGCAAATGTGTTGAAGGCACAAGGTGAACAGATTATTTGCAGTCACTGTCATCAACAGTCACAGGAGATAGTTACGTACACGCATATAAACTGATAATAATTTATAAAAATCTCCATTAAAATTATTCATCCAAATCACAGTTTTAATGTAGACAATAACTGTATCTCATATGCACATTCATTTAAATGCCATTCATTTCTGTTTATACATTAGGAGACAACTGCTGTTCCCATCCTCTTTCTTACAGCTTCTCTTTTTTATTGTTGCCAATTCTTTCTCCAGTCTCCTTTAAGCACCTTCATGAGCTAGTCAAATGTTTTTTCTATTGAGTTCTAACAACCTGAGTTGTGAAATGAAAGGTCCCAACTACTAGTAGCAGGATTATAAGCTGTCTTCATGTAGTTATTTTGTTTTTAATCTGACCCCTGTGTCTTTGACTGTGTCCCCATGCCCCTGAGCCATAATTTTCTTCTTTGCATTTCAGTATTAAATTGAGTAATGAACTATATCTAGAAATAAGTATTGTTTATTAAATGTTTCTCACAGCTTCAACTGCAGCAAGTTCTGTTTATGGGAATTGCATCCATATTGAAGCGACTGAAAAGGTGATGGAAAGCTTTGACAGGGAAAACAACGTCACCACTTCACTTGCCGGAGACACATATTCTCATGGTCACTCTTACCAATAAGATGAATGAATTTTTTGCTTTAGAACGTTAAAATTTTGGAATTATTACTAACATTAATCTTGCTTTTGTCAACATTTTTCTTGTTATTTTTTAACTCGTCCTAATGATTTTGGTCTAAGTTAAATAATGTTAGAGCATAACCTGTGTATTTAAACAGCTAGGCCCCCTTCAGAGTACAGCTATTTATGAATCTTAGTTTATTATATTCTTGGAGAAATGACAAGTGCATCATTTGTTGTAAGTAGCTGTAAACAACATATTTTTCCATTTGTATCTGTTAATTAAGTAAAGAATATTTGAAATGATTGTAGCATTTCCACAGTCTACTTACTTTTTTTTCTTGCTGTTTTTCTATCTCAGGAGGAACATCATGACTTATTGCCTTTGAATGGGAATAATTTTACCCTTTTTGTACATGGAATAAAATGTTATGTTGAAATTTTTTCAAGTAATCACATACCTCCCCCCCCAAAAGTTTACAATGAATTTGAAAATGACATTATTGTGACATCTGAATATCAAGTAATGTACTTATTTCAATAAATTTAAATGTTTCTGGAACACACCCAGCAGATGCACTTATAACAACAATTATAATTTACAACAACTATACTAAACAATATAAGACTCGTTTGTCTGCACATGATGGTTTACGATGAAAACCAGGTACCAGAAAAAAACAAATAATCAACAAATGATTAGCTGAAGGTTCTGATTTGTTGTATCTCTGAAGTTTTGCCTGTGACATTAACTGAAAATCATTGTATCAAGAACGATATAAAAATTGTACATGTATGTCATTCAATTGTCTTTCAAAAAGTTACATTGGCTGATGCAGATGTATTGGACTTCAAGAGGTTGCTATCCTACCACCACTGGCATTATGCTTGGTACAGTTTCCTGGACCTTCTTGACATACACTATGAAGAAGGTTTTTGTTGTGCCATCTGTGGCAAAGATAACAGTCTGGACACTGTCATTTGTGATGCTACAGCATCATCCTTCAGATGAGAGCTTTGTACTTCTCTGAAGTCTAGTCATTCATCACTGAGTCCATCCACAGAACCACGAGAAACAGGAAGATAAATTACTATTTATGCTTATGATTTTTTTAATATTTATGCATCATTTATCCTATTATTTTGGTTCCCAGTATGATTCAAGGAGTTCTATTTTAGAGTGTGAGCATGATATAATATATTAATCTAGCTGTCAATGTGAAGACCATGACTTCATTCAGTTTGATTACTGATCAATGTAATAATTTTAAATATTTTTAATCCTTTACCATAGGCTGGTACCTTGTCATGGTGGTGAAGCTTGCGTGTCTTATTGACTCTTCAAAGACCTTGGAATGAGGTCTTCTTTTTCTGGATCAGTTGAGGGGTTGAGACCAGACCAAGACCAGCTCCAGTTCCTCCTACATTCCACTGGGATAGACTTTTAATATGTCTAAATATCACCTGTTTTTATTTGCCTTATTTGAAGAGATCTGCATTTAGGCTAATTATTTCATATTTCATGACATCACTAGGCATCGTGACAGGGTTTACCTTGCTGAAAAACATGTCAGGTAGATGGTGGATCAAGTAGGTCGTGATGTTAGCAAGGTTACAGACACAGTAATGACCTCTTAACACCTGTAGTTGCAGCGTTGTGCACCTGCCTTGGGTAGTTTTCTTTCCTGGTGCATTTCGTTCTATGGATCTGATGTCTCTTTTCCAACACCCATTGCTGGACTTTTCATTGCATTAGGAAAGCTTCCCTGGTGTGTGCACTTCTCCCCAATTGGACTTCTTGGAAACATTTTACCCCAGACTCATTGGCAATGAACCAGTCAAGCAGTGTCTTGAAGACATGCTTCTACTTCAGCAAACTTCTCCACTCCTGTTTGACATAGTAAGCATTGTGGAGGGAGATCAGCTTCCTGAGGCCTTGACTGCATTTATTATTGACCTGTTGGAAAAAGCAAAGTCTCCATTCAGCAGAAATGGATCAATAGCAGATGCTGTGCAACTGGATGTACACCGCACAAATGATGTAGAATACTATCCTTGCCTGCCTGTGGTAAGAAGTCGTAGTGACTATTGCTTGGAGTACTCTACACCCATCCTTACTTCCTGGAGTTTTCTTAGTGCACTGTAAACACGGTACAATAATGTTATGAGTTTTTATTAATATTTGTATTAATTTCTACGATGAACAACATTACTTCTGATATAAAAAATGTAAATTTCAGTTCACTCTGACCCCCAACTAGCTATTGTATATTCCAGATACGCTCTGCCTGTGGTTTTAGTTATCAACTTTAGGTTTTCCTCAACAAGTATCATGTTCTTGAAAGACCAAAACTGTTTGTAACGCTTAGTTTGCAAAAGGATAACATCTGCAGCTGTCAAGTCAAAGAATCGCAAAAATTAACTGACTTACCTGTTTTGTTTTGGTTTTTTGCCGTTTACTAACTAAATCGACATTTTTCTTACAATTTATTGGCTAAATGGCGTAACGACTTGTATGAACAAAGGTTGTTGATTTCTATTGACTGGAGATGTACCCCGGTTACATCCTCTTTTCAGCCTTCATTACATGTTCTTTCACAACATGCTTTCAGGCACTCAATGTACGCAGTGTTGCTGTGATTATATGTAAAACGGTTTTATATCCTCTCTTTTGATTTCCATTTTAGGTGCAAGTTATGGATTTAGTGTAAATCCATAAGTTTAGATTTGATGTAATAACATCCCATTTCCGTGTTTCGAATGCGTTTCTTACAAGGTAAGCTCAATTTAATGTGCATGTGTATGTTGAGGCCTCTGATTGGATGCCGTTGTGCGTGTGGAAAATTTCTTTTTATTACCTGGGCCCGGTGTAAAAGATGGACGCTAAACGCTATCCACCAGAAAAATCACTATCCAGTGGATAGGGTTGAATGTTATCACAACACTTATAGGTGAATATTGATTCATTCTGTGGATAGCGTCATCCACCCGTTAAACAACCGGGGCCTGGTTTTTTGGGAGTTTTTCTTCTCTTGATTTCTTCCATCAAAGTGCTTTTATATCAAACGAGTCTTAATAAATGCCTTTTTTTGACAGGTCCCCGCCTGATTGTTTACAACGCTTGCAATTTGCATTCGTATTGTTTAAATCGCGATCCTGTCTTTTTCAAGAACTATCAGTTCCTTGTGGATCTATTGCATTGACAGGATCATACAGGTACGTAAATCACCCCAAAACTTGCTTTTTTGGTTTGGCCATCTTCAATCTTCGGTGTTCATTTAACTTTGCTCTCGGGTCTATCTCCTATCGACGTAATGTTTTAATCTTAACTTTTCAGTACTAATGCAAAGCAATCCAACATGTTTTTTTTTCTTTTTCAGGTTGCTCTGAGGCTTACAACCTCTCTCGGTACCTCAATGGGACACTTTAAACAGTCAGGCAGTAGGACAAGCTAATTCATGCTCGAAGTCTGTCAAAGGATCCTTGTCATACATGAACGAAAAGAATACAGTTTTTGGTGGTTATACAGTTTGAGTTATTTGACGCTCTTAATAACTGGATTAAATGATAGAATAGAACGCGGTGGTTAAAATAAAACAGTTTTTGGTGGTTATACAGTTTTAGTTATTTGAAGCTCTTAATAACTGTTATGAATAGTAGAGAAGAACGCGGTGGTTAAAATAAAATAATAAAGAATCCGTTAAATTCCCAAATTATTACTTTCAATTTTCAAAACAAACTTTATTTCCGACCTCTTGAACAAAAAGTGGCCTCCCGTCTCGACACTCGAGTACTTTAGAGAGGGGAAAGGGGTCGAATGACCCACTCTCCAGGCTCTTTAAAAGATGTTGTCTTATCAGCATCCTGTCAAATGTCAGATTAGAAGGATTGAGGCCATGTGGTAGCGACACCAGAAAAGCAATAGCATAAACTCCACAGTCATCGTAATTGTTCTGGTGTTACATTTTTGGAACAATGACCTTAAAACTGGTTCCTTCCTCGTATAGGATTGGTGCAATGTGTTTCAGGATTTGTGAAAATTGGCCTTTTTGAACAGAAAAATTAAAAATCGGCCCCAAAGTTATATTTTCCAATCCTCTTGCGTGAGGGAACTGCTCCCTCAGAACAGGCTGGGCTGCACCTACAATATGGTCGGTAAGCCAGTCTCTAGTTGAGATAGTGCTAATATCCTGTTCTGAGAGATGAAATTTACCGGCCTTTGGGGTGCTTCTGTAAGAGATCTTTACAAAGTCTACTTCATCATCATTTTCGCTTTGCTGGACCAGGTTTGTGTTCGTTGTCGCGTTTACTGCAAGGATGATGCATGTGTTTGCAGTGCTGGTTGTGCTCGAGGTTGTGTTGATGGAGTAGATGGTGTTTGCGTTCGCAGTGCTGGTGATACATGTGGTCGTGTTTGGTCTGTAAGGGGTGCTTGCCTTTACAGTTTGAATGGCGTTTGAATTTGAACCATTAGAGTTATTCACGTTCACATTGCGGTTTATGTTTACTTGAGCCTCGGCGCTTGAGTTGGCATTCTTGAAGTGTGCGAGTTTCGGCTGCTTGTTTCAGAAAGCGAAATTATCGATTGGAATACGGCCGAACACTGAATACGAATTGAGTGAGTAAACAGATACATTGATATCTCGGACGATAACAAATTTCCCGCCTTTGCGAGTTTGGACCATTCAATTGTCTGGGAGTTAATCGACTGTAACATTTATCTTTCCTCTCCATTTCCGGAGTTTTAACATCCTCCTTTTGACAGATTTCGTGGAGGTGTCACTATGTTGTAGTTGTGATCGGCCATCCATAAAAAGGAGGCATCGCAAAAATTTTGTGGAGTCTGTAATATAGGTAAGCATCGATAAAAAAAAGAAAATATCTTACGGCCAATACAAAGTTATCTGCGGGAACAAAGTACGTATTCGTTTCTACTCTGTTTTGCGGGTCTAAAATGCTAAATAGGGCCTATGCCTGCCCATATGTAGCAATATTTAATCCTTTTCTATTTATATTTGATTTAAACTTTTTTTCTTTCGAATTTAAACTTCGTGTCCAAAATTTATTTGAATTTAAAACAAATTCCAATTTAAACGCATTTAAAACTATTCACTACTTTTTCTTGGTGCAAAATATCGGATATGTTTGGTATGTTCAGGTGGACTGTTATGCGCCGTGTTCAAGAATATTTACTTTCTGATTTGCAGGAATTTCCCAACATTTCAGATGACAGAATTGACAATATAATTAAAGACTTCATCCACGTCATGGTTCTACCACTGGTGAGCCGTTCATGTCAGGCTACTTTCAATCTCTTGTTTTGCATGTGAAAAGAAACCAAATTAGAGTGGCAATAAACAGAGTGGACCCACGGAATACCCTGATCAAATTCTCTTTGGCATGTAGATGGACATCATGCACTTATAAGATGGAGGTTTGTGGTCCATGGCTGTTGTGATGGTAAATCTAGAGAAATAATTTTCAAAGTGCAGTACAAATAATTTAGCAGATACAGTCTTGGGCCTTTTCAAGGATGCTATCAAGGAAAATTGAGGCTTGTGACCATTGTGTATTTGTGTAGATCATGGTGTGGAGAATGTTTCGATTTGTGAAGAAATAGTTACCCACTGGGGAAGGGACCATGCAGTTCTATTGCTGGCTCATCCACAAGTAATCAGTGAATAGAAAGACTCTGGAGAAATGTCTTTAGATGTGCTTGTCATTTTTTTAAAATTTTACTTTCTATGCCATGGAACAGTCAGGAATTCTGGATGTCAAGAACCCCATCCACATATTCTCATTACATTTAGTCTTTACTTCAAGAATCAGTACTGCTCTGACTGAGTTTGCAAACATGTTCAATAATCATAGGCTTTCCACTGAGCATGGATGGACCCCAAATCAGATATGGCTTAATGGAATCCTCAATGAAAGCAATCCATTAAGTTCCAGTGGTGGTGTTGATGAATCTTAAAGACTCAGATGCCCCACACCCTCATTCAGTTGATGATGATAGAGTTGTAGTTGTACCTGTTGAAGTGGCTCACAGTAACTGTATTTTCTCAGGTTAATGTAAACAGATCATCAAGTCAAGCTGGACTTAAAATTTACAGTAAAGTTCTTAATCTAGTTGTCCAAAAAACTTGAATTTCCATAATTGTAATAATTAACCATCCGGCTAAAGGCTAGTGAGACCTATAGTCTTAGCAATAAGGGAGTGAAGCATAATAATTATCAACAAAGAAACTCTGAAAAGAAATGTAGTATACATCCAGGGAAAGAAAAAGCAGTATGACTTCACTTACTTTATACTTTGTCAGTCAATTTATTGGCTATAACCTATTCATCAAATGTTATGAATTTTTGATAGTTCAAATACTTGTCTTTGATTCTTATGTAGTGAAATCATTCACTACTTGGCAATACTATCACACTGGAATAAGAAAGAAGGAAAAAAAATCTGATATACTGTTACATAGAGTCAAGGCATGAAGTAGCATTTTTTTATTTTCCCTTTTCAATTACATAAGACAAATGTTTGGTAGTAACATAACCACCCTATTTCTACATTGATAAGTGGCAGTTTCTTGGCTATTATTTCTTTGTCACAGTTTGAAATAAATTGAAGGTAATACTAAAAAAAATGAACATGTCATTCAGTGATTCATCAAGTGTAAATGTTGGATTAATTTTAAAACTAATAAAATACAAACAGCAAATTGGTGGGTTTGTCCCAATAAGTTTTATATAAAAAGGTAGTAATCAATCCTTTGAATTGGCATCCCTCCTCTCCCTCTTAACTCAAAAAAATTCATTGATTTTTTTTTAATCAAATGAAGCCTTAATAATGCCTTAAAAGAAGAGATGGTCACATATGGCTGCATGATACCCCACTCCATTAAACAATTTCAGTAATACATTGTAATTTTGCTCGCTTGATCATTTTTCTTTTTTATAAAAGCAACACCAACACAAACATGAACTTTAACTGCACAGTTGTTGTAATGACTTTGTTAACATACTTTTATAATACACGAGGGAATCAAAATCGTACAGTGGAATACCACTTGGACAGGTGGTCTAAAACATTTTTCCCTCACCAATTCTAATTTACATATTTTTTCTTTATTAACAAGAATTCAGTTACTTTGAGTAATACTTTAAGATTAAACTGAGTCCTTCAAGCCCTAATAGTAACACAAGTATAATTTCTTTTCGCAGTGATACTAATTGATGAAAATAAAAGGACCAAACATTAGGGAAAATGGAAGTCTGGAAGTCTCCTAAAAGGGCCTTAGGGAATATCTGTATGAGGGAACAGAAACCAGGTGTTGATATTAGAGCAATAAGGGATACCGTAAACGTCCATGTATAAGCCGCATCCGTAGATAAGCCGCACCCCCGATTTGGAAGCGCAGAATTTGGAAAAAAATAAAAACAATACAGTTTGAAGTTTCAGTAGAGTTGTATTGCTACAAAAAATCAAGGTTTCGAAACACCGACACAGAGGTTGTAGCTATCTTTCACATCTATCAAGTCTAAAGAAAGCGAGACAGAAGAGAAAACAAACAAGTGCTTAATAGCCAGGCTGTAAATGTTGGGAGGAGTCCGGGCCAGGGCCTGGCCATCGTCGACTCAGCTGTTCGGGGATAACACGTGTATAAAGATGTTTGGAAACCCGCAATAGGTGAAAAACTTCGTGCAGAACAGGAGCCAGATAATGCAGTCAACAAATTTGCCATGAAGGTAGTAAAAAACAACGAGAGATTCCTTGTATGTTGGTGTTTAGTTGTTCGAGTAAAGCGAAAATTAATCGATTGAAAAAACTCTTGATTTGCCGATAAACACTCGAAGACACAAACGGCTTCTAAAGGAGCCACTCAATGAAAAAGTCAATGAACTACAGCAACACGCTCTCAGTTTCTTTTATGTTTATTTCTTGACATCTTAAGAAGTTTTATCAATATTAATTAGGTTTTTGAGAACTATAATATATATATATATATATTATGGTGGTAATAACATTAGTTAAAAATAAGAACAAATTTACAAAATGAACATATTTAGAACACTAATCTAAGTTGTTTTTTTTTTTAACATGGTTGATAACTGACAGTAACATATATGTAAATTTCATTACATTGAAAACAGGATCAAATCCAACAATTTGTAAAAAGGTAGCATTGTTACAAGGTTATAGGTGGGATGGGCCGTGAAAATGTTCTGATTCACATTCCTTTGGAAACCCTCAAAACTCAATATGGATTGGGTGGCAGTTACAAGAGATTGAAGAAAAGACAGTGCATTTGCCAAAGCCATTTACCCTTTCTCTAAATCACAACTGCTAATTAGATGAAAAGAGTATTTTCGTCATTTTTCTGTTTCAAAAGTAAACTAATTTCCCTGTATTAACTAGAAAACCTGAAATGTTCAGTACATGAACACAAATTGTTCCAACTCTAACAGAGAGTGGCTTCAGACAAGGAAACCAGTGGTTAACACCAAACTTTGAGTCTAGTGACTTAATGATACTCAATAAAGTTGCATTATCTGTTTATCCAGTTATAACATAGTAAGGCCATGTCATTAAATGAAGCCTTGACCCTAACTTCAAAGTAATTTACATTATTAATCAGACATATTTCTTCAGTGCATTCAAAGTACTAGGGGCCTCTTTCGCTTTATAGTTAACCCTTTAACTCCCATGAGTGACCAAGAAAGAATTTCTCATTACAATATCAATACAATATTATTCAGATAAGTGATGAAAATAAAGAAAATATCAATTTGAGGATAATTTGATCCAATACTAAATTCTCTGAACTAACATTACAACAATTGTATGGTTGACATTAAGGAGAATTACAAATTTAATCTGGGAGTTAAGGGGTTAATGTAGGTAGTGTGAGATTAAACTGTTCCAAAATGGGTATTTGCAAAGGCAAGATCATAAACCGGAAAAAACTCTTGTTCCTCTGGTACAGGGGTCATCAGGAAATCTATGGGCAAGACTAAAGCATTGCTGCACGTATGTGCTGTTGGAAGGATGAACTAGAAATTGACATGTACCTTATTAGATTCTTCACGAAAAGCAAATTTAATAGAGGGGTGAAGGACAAATCCTTGGACTGGCTCCTGAGAAGCCCCGTAACAAATACCAGAACATGATTTAAAGTGATTCCGTCTCTTCGGCCACTTGAAGCTTCTCGTACAAATTTAACAAATAAAGCATATACTTGCTTTTCTCTTAGGCAACATGTGGATCCCTCTCGAGAGAGTTCAGGGGACAATGACTTGAGAAGCAATCTTGCAGTAAGCTTGTGTGTTGTTGGCCTTATTAAATGAAGCAATACTAGCACTTTTTGAAAGATCTTAAAAAATCCAAACACATCTAACCTTGTTGCAAATATTGACAGTACAACGGTCATTGTCAATTGACTGGTCCCAATTGAAGAGTCTAAATTGCCTTGTGGCGGACCTTTACAAACTCGAAATCATCAACGCCAAGAAAAGGAAATTTAACCGTTAAAGATTCCTTTACTGCTTTTCGTATGGTGGTTTTGTCCGTACACTCTTCTAGTACCTGCATTTCGTTTGCAATGATAGAGTCCCATTTTAGATGATGAAGCTCCTCCGGTTCATTCGAGTTCTAGCAACGTAACAAAGCATATTCCAAAGCCTTCTTTTCTTTCTTCACCGTTTTATTAGCTGTGTAATTACGTTGGTAAGGGCCAGATGCCGCTCTCAAACGTTCTTGTCTGTTCAATCACCTACAGAGGCCGGCGGATATACTTTCCCGAGGCATTCCCTCAGCAAGCCCAAGAGTTTCATTAGGGAGTTACTACATCACGGGCGACGAGCGGGGATAGAAAAAACGACCCAAATATGAGCGGTCAGCGGTGAAACAGCTTTTATACCTCATATAGAGACATAATTTGTTGTTCCAGAGACAATCGTATTGTAAAGCCGAAATGTTAACAGTTTACTTCACAGTTTAAGCAATTTTTCAAAAGTGTTGATTGAACTCATATCTTTTACTGCTTTAATAAACAATGGAGGCTTCGGAGAGGGAGTCAGTGGCATTTGGAAAGGTATCAAGAATAATTATATATATGGTTTGTAGCTAGCTGCGTGACGTGCGTGACGTTAAGATAGATTTTCACGAGCGTCAATGGTGCAGAATCGTAACTTGATGGAGCCAACAGTGGACAACATCCCAGAATTCAAACTTTGTGATTTTTTTCTCGGCTTAAACGCTAAGTCAGTTGTTCAATTGAATAGGAAGAAAAACATTTCGAACGGAAAACAGCATTATTTGCACGTGTGGATCTTTTGAGAAAAGGTCTCCTAAACGAGTGGTCTTGATTGTAAATATTTAAGGAATGGTAAATACATTAGCCTTAACATGGCTGTTTCTCGAAGCTCAGTGTTTTCCTACTTGCCTTTTTTCCACGTGAATTGGGGGCGATTGAATAGATATAATATGCAAAAAGGAAGCCAACTGTGATTAATGCTTTGAACAAGTCAAGATACATTTTTTTCGTCACACAACAAGTTACATAACGTGAATATCATTCTTCTTGATGCCTTTCCCGGTGTCACCAATGCCTTTCCCGATGCCTCCGTTGGTTAATAGGGCATTAAAAGTATTGTTCCAGTTAAAGCTTGAGGAAAATTGCTTAACTTTTTAAGTAGCGAAGTGTAACTTGGTAACATTTCGGCTTTACAACACGATTGTTTTCTGCAACTACAAAACGTACATTTAATTCTTCTTGGTACCTTTCGGATGCCACCGATGTCTACATTGTTTACTAAAGCAGTAAAAGATATATGTACAATCAACACTTTTGAATTGCTTAACATTTTATTTAGCGAAGTAAACTGTTTACACTTCGGCTTTACAACACGATTGTTTCCTGATACTACAAATGATCTGTCTATATATGAAGTATGAAAGTTGTTTCACCGCTGACCACTCGTATTTGGGTCGTTTTTTCTATCCCCGCTCGTCGCCCGTGATGTAGTAACTCCCGTTTCGGGAGATTGATCGTCGCCTGCGGTATCGCTGCTGAACGACTGGACTTCACAGCAGGGTTCGAAGTGGTACTGGGGGACGAAGACAAAAGCATGAATGCTTCCCTTAACAATTCAGACACTCTTCCTACACAACTCTCGTCCGTATTTATTGACGATACCGGAGTACGCGAAAACTAACCAAACTGGCCGCTGTTGGTGAATGTGTGACATAGTCACGTGACCCTGGTCGAGCTCGCCCTAGGAAGTTTAATAATTTCGCAGTTTAAAATCAAATACATATTCGTAACTTTACATAAATTTTAAAAAGTTTAAATGTAAATAAATGAAAAGCATTAAATCAAAGTTAAAAATTTTAAAGAAATATTGCAATAAGATTGAAAACATGTTCAAAAGTTTAAATTTAAATGGAAAACAAGATTCAATAAAAAATTTAAAGTAATATTACATAGTTTCAAATGCGTTAAATAGGAATTTGTTTAAGATTTAAATCAATTTAGGACACGAAGTTTAAATTTAAAAGAAAAAAGTTTAAATTAAATACAAAAATAAAAGGATTAAATGTTGCTACAAATGGGCAGGCGGGCGAGCTCGGATTTCGTAATCGAAAATCTACTCGAGATGAGCTTCTTCTGACGGATTTCTGAGTACTCTTTCCGGCCAAACTGAGCTTCCGCGCATGCGTTTGTAAAAAAAAAAAAAAGGTGGACAATAAGACATGGTTGGATGCTACTCTGCTTTCCAAATTAATGAATGCAACCGATGAAGTTACAATTCATAGACCCAACGCTTCGACACTCCTGTCTAGTGCCTTCATCAGGGGTGATGAAGGACTTCTGGATTGTTTAGTAAAGCAATTTTCATTGGTTAGTCTCAAATCAATTGACCAATGACCGTCCTTGTTAGAGTAGATATTTTAAAGAATTATACGCTTGCCACCAAAAGGTTTTAGATCTCACTTCCTCAATACTTTAGCGAAAACAATGTCTTCCGAAGAGGTAGGACGTAAACCTGAGGGAAAAAGGGAAACTTTTGAAATCTCTGCTGAAAGTGACGGTGGCGAAAATGCAAACGAACGTCATGTATTTGAGAAGGACCCGAAGGGAGGTAAAGAAACGCAGGAAAGTAATACACTTACTAGGGAAATAATTGACGTAGACAATCATCAAGAGAAAAACGCACCTGCTCTTGAGCCTGTAAAGAAAGCGCCAGATAAGCGGGAATCAACTGTCCCTGACCTAAAAGATGGCAAAGACGACCAAACACTTGCTGGTGAATCTCCGAAAACAGGGTTGGACGAAGAGCAATCAGATCCTGAGAGACAAGGACTACTGAAACTTTTCTACACCTTGCCTTCTTGTACCAAGTCGCAATCAGGTTATTTTTGCTTTACGGGAATTCTCCTGGTCGCCGCAGTAGTATGTTTTGTAGCTTTCTTCCTTGGTCCTCCCAAGAACGACATGAAGGCTGACTTTGAGCCGGAGGGAGTCTTTCGAAATGGGCTTGGGAATTTACAGTCCAAGTTCACTAATCAGACCGACCGGTTCTGGAAGATTTTAAGAATTCGCGGATCGACTCATCTACGGAGTAAGGATCCCTCACGACCACTGGTGTTCTTACTGGCTGCACCTCCAGCAGCACATGAATGGGTGGATTGCCTGGCCATTAAACTAGCAGAAATGTTGGATTCAAGACATAAAAATACTCTGGCTAGATTTCATGGTGAAAAAGAGAAAGCAAATCCTCCAGATCAAACCAAAATAACAATGGACAATTTCCTGAAGGAAAAAATTGACGTTCCTCACAAGGCAGTGCTCATCCATCACCTTGAGCTTCTCCCGCCACCCTCACAACTCCTGTTTCACTCTTATTGTGATGATCAAAATGCACCATATAAGCACTTGGCCATTATTTTTACTGTACATATGCCAGTAGAGCCTAGCCCATCTCTGTCTTCTAAACAAGCGGAGGAAAGTGTTAAGAAATATCTTTCACATGATGTATGGGCAAAGGGTGGTAGGAATGCAGATACTTCCCTCCTATCCCGTGTTGCTGACACTGTGGTGCTCATGAATGGTGAAACTAGTGGTTTAGCAAGGGACTTTTGTTCATAGTCCACTAACTGTAGGCAGTTATTGGCAGGATGAGTTAGTGAATCATCGTTACTCAGTCAGACATGTAGTATTTAACAGAATGTGGCAAATTTAGAGTTTAGTCAACCAGGAGATGTTGTCTTGATTGAGCACTTAATTCTCAGGAGTAGCTGACAAAAAATATAAGGTTTTCAGGCAGGAGAACTATTATAAAGATCTAGAGTGTGAAAGGACTATTATTTATAAGCTGAGGTCAAATATGTAACAGTTGATTGCTTCCTTTTCATTATGGAAATGGACTTGCCAGGCTATTTTGGTTTGTTTCTGTAGATTTTCACAAAACAAGAACTATTGACTATTCACAGAATACAGTGGATGGTTAACAATGCATTCAATTCAAAAACTTAATTTACATTTTTGTTTGTTAGTCAAAGCTAGACCTTTCATACACATGTTGATTTTAGGCTGTGAGACAAACTAAAGGTAGTCCAAAGACTTGTCAAATTTGATTAAGATTGTGCCATTCACCTTCAAACCCAGTGAAACTGCTGAGTGTTCACAACAACTTGATTTCATCAAAGGAACATTTTTGGGTCTAAAAGTTTTTTGTGGTTTTGGGATATTTATTTTAATTTGAGAAAATTTGAACAACAAGTTTGTAGGTGACCTAGTTTTATTCACTAGGTTTAGTTTTAGGGCTTAAAGCTCAATATAATGATTGCTTCTCTGGCAGTGAAATATTATCCTGACCTTTGGAATGATGTGCTGTAGTTCAAAAAAGCTAACTTGTCCCTCGGATCTTTCTTATAATTTTTAGTACTGGATTGCATGCACTGAATTTTCAATTGTTTTTTTTACTATTTGCAAGCACCCTCATTTCCACTACAGCTCAATAGCCATTTTTGTTAGTGCCCTCATTTATAATTTTGATTGCAAATCAGGTAATATAAATTTATTAAAGTTTTGTTCAGGAAAATTTTTTCATTTACATACTCCCCCAATTAATTCTTTCTAAGAGTTCTTCACTGACTTTAAAACTGGCTTTTAATAAGTCAGTTTTGTAGTGATCCAGCTTTTTCCTGTTTTTGACATTGTTTGCTGGTGTTCTTGTGCATGATTTTGATTCTGATCAAAAGTATCCAATTTTGGAAACCTGTGTCTGATTTTGGAAATGGGTTAATTAGTTTGGACACTAGTATCCCCTTTTTAGATGCTTGTGACTGATTTTTGACACTAGTGTCTGTTTCTGGACAGTTGTATTGTATTTTAGACACATGGGTCTGACTTTGGACACCAGTGTTTGATTTTGGATGTTGGTGTCCAATTTTTATGGCAGTGTGCTAGTTTCAGGGACTAGCATCTCATTTTAGACACTGGTGTTCAATTTTAGATACAAGTGTCTGATTTTAGACTTTTACTGTCTGCTGTGAGTCACTAGTCACTGATATAGGAAACTAATGGTTGATTATATCATAAGGGTCTGATTTTGAACACAAGGGTCTAATATTAGACACTGGTGTCTGACTTTAGACAAAAGTGTCCAATTTTAGGAACAAGTGTCTGATTTTAGGCACTACTATCTAATTCTAAACACTAGTGATTAACTATGGACACCAGCACATGATTTAAGACGCTAGTGTTCTAAGTAGATACTAGGATCCAATTTGTTGACACTAGTGTCTGATTTTAGGCATCAATGTCCAATTTGAGATATTAGTGTCTAATTTAGACACTAGGATCCGATTAAGATACCAGTGTCCAATTTAGACACACATTTGACTTCAGTCACTGCTGTCTAAGCTTAGATGCTGGTGTATGATGTTCTAATTTAAGACACTACTGCCCGATCTTACACACTAGTGTCCAAGTTTAGAAGGTGGTGCCTGATTTTAAACAGTCAGACAGTGACTGATTTTGGACACGAGTTTGGTTTTAGGCACAACCATTTTATTTCCCAACAGAGCTAAGCTGTTCTTGTATTAAATCTAGGTGACTTTTTTTTATAAACTCTTAGTGCACCTTACTATCTGAATGGTTATTTTCTGTTAAGATTATTCATAGATAAGTGATATTCTGTTAAGATTTTCCATAGACAAGTGATATTCAGCATTCATGTTTTCTGAGCAGGGTTTATAATTTATGTCGGGTCCTATATGCATTGACTGCCAGACACTGAAGACTTCTGTAATACAAAACCCTCTGATGAGAGTTTTACTCTCTGCAAGTGTTTAATTACTCTAACTACAAGTATATCTGTATTTAAGATTAGTGTACTTAGCCTTTTATTGTCTGTATGGTTAGCCAGGATATTGAATTCAACTAAAGAAAGTTGTTTTGTACCAGTATAAAATGCAGCCCAAATGATCCAAATATATTCCTCTCTGAAAAATTCATCTAAGACATCCTTGAATGGAATGTAATCCAACAGAGTTCATTGAAGAAAAAAAATCCATTAACGATAAAAAAGAAATTTCAATAACCACACAGGTAACATTTGATTTATCTTTAGCTGGTGAGGAACAATGTGAACTACTTACTTTCACTGTAATTTTCAGACACAGCAAAATTTTAAAGTAGGAGTGATTGAAAGCATATATTGCCTAAAAATAGATATGATGTGGCAAATTTGTATTTAAAAACATCATAAACTGAACAAGTTTATAACAAGTGAGGAAAATTTGGAAAAACTTCAATTCAAATTGGAAATACATGTATTTATTTGAACTCACTGTTAATTAAGTTATCATCTGTAGTTTAGTGTCCTCAAAGACTCCCTTTCACATTTTTCACAAATTTTATGAAAGTCCAGAGCACTTTTCTTTAAACAAGGGCTAGTTAAGATCTTTTACCTACATGAAGATGTGTCCTTCATGTCCATTGAAGCACCTTCTGGAAAATATCGATCAATTGGAAAGCAAGACCAAAAGGCTTTTTTCTATTTTCTTTTGCCTGGCATGTTTTGTGAAAAAACTAGATTAAGGGATGTCAAATTAGGTTCTGTTTCCTGGCTATTAACCCAAAAGTTACAGAAATTAATTGGTATACAGTACTATGCACTCACTACCCAGGCTCCCAATAGGCAGCCTCCTCCCAAAAAAATATTCTCAAATAAAGCTTCCCCAGTTGAAATGTTTTAAGCAGGGTTAGTAGAGAAATTATGTACCAAACTTAACTTTCCCCTTCCCTCTCCTCCCTTGCAAAGTAAAATTTGAGCCAGTTGGGAAACTAGGACAGATTAACCATTCAACCATGAAGAATCAAAGAACTGATGATAATTACCCATACTGTGTGACAGGTTAACTACAGACAACGACAGTTATCAAATACAAAAGGATTAATGGTTATTTTGTAAATAATCTATTTCGAGCCTTTTTCCTCGACAACTTTCGGCCACAAATCGTGCATTTGTAGTACGATCGATTCTTGTCGATTATTTCTGCATAGAGTGAGCTCACATCATTATTTAAATCACCAAGGTATCAATCGTCTAGAAGCAGAGAACCGATGGGATAAGTCAGAATAAAGTTGATATGGGCTTCTCTTAACACTGCAATCGGCAAGCCAGCGGATTCACTTTGCTAGCCAATGACAATTCCTGAAAGATCCACGTGATCATGCCCGCGATCGGAAACAAAGAAGACTCCATTTGGCGCTCATCTTTGAATGTACTTTTCATCGGTTGATCGCTCGTGTGTTTAGTTATTTCTTTTCTCAACTGTTTTGCTTAATATAACATTTATAAAGATAGGTTTTATTGTGGTTCGATGGGAAAACGAGAACAACGTGAGTGTTGTAAAAGAAAAGAAAGTCGTTGGCGCCGTGGAGTTAAAAGAAGGGACAACAGTTGACATATTGACTGGTATAAACAAGGGTCGAGTGGCCGTTGATAAAGCTACGATTTTGAAAGTTTGTTGTGAGTAAAAATTGCGATATTCGTTACGTGATTAAAATCTTAGAAAAGAATAGATGTAACGGGTTGAATTAAGCTTACATAACGCTCGGCGCAACTGAAACTAGAATAATTCTGAGAATCGAATCGGTCACTTGCATGCCGCAGTTTCTTAAGCTTATGATTTACAATGAAATAAATCTATCAGTAAGGTTTCAAGATTACTTTAGTCACGTTTGGGAACATTCAAGATTCATAATACAAACTGTTGTTAAACAAACCTTATTACATAAAGAAGCCCTCCTTGGTAAAAACAAAATAATGTATTCAGCCCTTTTTTCATAAAATCTATGGGAGAGATGTACTAACTCCAATACAAAAGTCATTCAATATAACAGAGATTTCCCAATTTGAGAATCCAATGAATGCCCTTTTCCTTATATCTATCTAAGGCCTGGTCTGAGCTTTTAATATATGTTTTTATAGATATTTTTTTTCTAATTCAGATGTCATGGAATCCAGATACAAAATGGTCAAGCTTCTCGTAGACAACCTCATTCAAGGCCAACTCATTGTGAGCCCAAGGAAAAAATACAAACAGCAGCTAAGTTTGCAGTTTAGGATAACTTCATTCTAATCTATTGTTACAGTTACAACAAGATTTTAATTAAAAAATCAATTTTATTTAACTGTAATTAACCCCTTCACTCCCAAGAGTGCTTGGTTTTCAAATATAATTTAAGATATTGTATTTTATGAAAGAGAATCCACAGACTTTATTCACAATTTGTGTCAAACAAAATTTAATGATTGATTAGGACTATTTTATATGAATAGCTGTGATTGAGGATTAATCCATATGAAGTTTTCAAGAAAGGAAAAATAAATCACGGATTTCGCTCATTTCTTGTGTGTTGTAAGACATTCATGTACCTATACTAAAACCACAATCCGTTTGTTTGAATCTCTTTATTTTTCAGAGTTTTACGTAAATTAAATTTCACTCGACCGAAGGCTTGTCGTGACATTTTTCAAGACTTTAATTTGAGACAAGTTTGGAGGACAATTTACAAAAAACTACGGAACTCAGCAAAAAACAAATAACCCAGCCATGTATATTAACTCTATCTTTTCTATCGAGGCGACTTTTGTGAACATCATGTTTCAATCAAGGAAACAGGAAGACTAGAATGACACCGTATCGGTTCGCTTAAGTCACACACGCGAAAACCGATCAAATTCAAGGTAAATTTTTGAAAAAGTGAGGTGTTCTTAACTGATCCAACTAACATAGCTAGGAAGTAGGTGCCATAGAAAAGGTACCTACAGAAAAAAACTTTGCGGCCCGACCTTTACAAAAACTTTATAACTCCGTGAACTTACCTAATTTTCGGCAATCTCCAAGTTTGGCCGCCATTTTGAGGGACTCGTCAACATGAAGCGTAGCAGATATAAATCAAGCAGGTAGATCTAAGACCGTCAGAAATACATACCATTAGAACTTAAACTTACCATTCTTACATCCCCATGCGACCATTTCTTCAAAAAATTCAAAAACTACAACTAGTGCTCGAATTCCCCTCGTTGAATCCACCGCAAGAAATGACCTGTGCCACCCCAGCTTCGACTCGAATGTGAAGTACGAATCAAATAACATAACTACTTCATCTTCGAGGCAACATCACGCTGGTAGTTTGATTTTCGGATCGACAAGAACGGTGATCGGGAAGGGATCGCTATGTTAACATCATAAACGTGACCGCTGACCAGCTGCTGAGTGAAAACAGTATAGCGCGGGGTGGGGTGGTTGGCGGGCCTATCGTCATAAGATATTCGAATGCATGTTTAAAAAGCTTTAGGACTCCCAGTCTAAACAGTGAAGGCATGCTTCGTGGTACAGACAACTTTCATTTTACTCTTATAACTTTCTCCTTTAAATTAGAACTGGTATTAATTAATAGAGTTATCAATATATTTTTAACCGTGTTACCCATATGACCTTTTTGCTTATCATCAGTGGTATAAGATAAGGTGTCTTTTTACCAGAACTTTTAATTATGCCCCATTTCACGGAATGAACACTATACTTAGAATGTTTGTTCTAGGTCATTTTTGCTGTTCCTAAGAATATATGCAAAATGATAGAGATTTGATTCATTCAGCTGACACGTTCTTCTAAGTTTTGGCGCGTGCAGGTTTTTTCTATCAAAAGTCGCGCGCAACACACCGGAATTGAAAATTCGTCGTAAAATCGCTCGAACCTTAGAATGAGTGTAGGCAACTTTGACTTCTGGCGAGATGAAGTGGATGGTTTAAAGGACCCCCTGAGATTTTTTTCAGGACTATAACTGAGATTTGTTTATAACTATGATAATCGTCATTATTAGCGGACGGTGCTTTTTTTACCCATTGTTGTCATCATTATCGTTATCATGCAGGAAGAAATATAAGGCCGGCACGTTGCCTTACCTAACTACACAGAAAATTGTTCCATCTTTTGCTCCCCTTAGATCCTGGAAACTGTTACTATTAAGACGATCAACAAGAAAGCCTTAATAATTACTGAAAAATTTGATTAACAGAATGTAAGAAAAAATCGGTGGGGAGAGTAATTCGCGTATCTTATAATCTGAACGATAGTTTTCAATAAAACAAATACCTCTTAATTCAATTTACTTTAGTTGTCTCGTGTTTTTTTAAAAGTGGCGTTTCTGAGGACTGTAGATTCTTCTCTGATTCTTCTTGTCTCAGCCAAGACTCACTATCATCAACTTTTTTCTTGTGCTTCTTACGGCATGGGACAAAGAGAGCTGAGGTAAGCGATTGCAAATTTCTTAGTTAAAGTGAAGCCCAGTAGTATCCATCAGAAATTGAAAACCGACATAGATCTATGTTTTTTCAACGTGATGTGCACTTAAGTACCCTTAATGTAATAAAGAGTTTCTTCTCTTTTCGAGCAGATATGTCACGAGACAAAAATGGATAACAGAAAGTATTTCTGAAGACTACCTAATTCAACTGAAATAATAACTCCAAATATCTTTTGAATGTCCTTAGACATATGCAAGGTAATTACATCTCTCCCTTGGATACGCTTCCTGACACCATCATGGTCAGGATACTGACATGTTGCCTTTGCACCTCTCCAAAACTTCCCCAAAGAGTGGCGATGCCTATAACAAATCCACATTTTTTCTTTATCCTCCTGAGTGAGGTGAAATAGGCCAGTCCTTGCCAAGATTAGCTCATTTTCACTTAAGACCTCTTTAGACAGGTTGTAGCTTATCAAATGATCTTTTACTTCATCATTGTATTCAGACAGTCGTACTAAACCACTTAAGCCACGCGATGAACCAAAGTTTTTTCCATCTTTGCTATTAAAAAAGCAGTCCTGAGACATTTTCACCCAGCGGCTGGTCAGCGGTCACGTTTAAGAGGTAAACATAGCGATCGCTTCCTGATCACCGTTCTTGTCGATCCGAAAATCAAACTACCAGCGTGATATTGCCTCGAAGATGAAGCAGTTATGTTATTTTATTCGTACTTCACATTCGAGTCGAAGCTTGGGTGGCACAGGTCATTTCTTACGATGGAATCGACGAGGGGAATTCGAGCACTAATTGTAGTTTTTGAATTGTGGGAAGAAATGGTCGCATGGGGATGTAAGAATGGTAAGTTTAACGAACAATTTCAAATTTTGCCGCTTGAATTGAAAGTAAAGTCCATTTGAATTGCTTTCGTATGTATTTCTGACGGTCTTAGATCTACCTGCTTGATTTATATCTTCTACGCTTCATGTTGACGAGTCCCTCAAAATGGCGGCCAAACTTGGAGATTGCCGAAAATTAGGTAAGTTCACGGAGTTATAAAGTTTTTGTAAAGGTCGGGCCGCAAAGTTTTTTCTGTAGGTACCTTTTCTATGGCACCTACTTCCTAGCTATGTTAGTTAGATCAGTTGAGAACGCCTCTTTTTCAAAAATTTGCCTTGAATTTGATCGGTTTTCGCGTGTGTGACTTAAGCGAACCGACACGGTGTCATTTAAGTCTTCCTGTTTCCTTGATTGAAATATGATGTTCACAAAAGTCGCCTCGATAGATAAGATAGAGTTAATATACATGGCTGGGTTATTTGTTTTTTGCTGAGTTTCGTAGTTTTTTGTAAAGTGTCCTCCAAACTTGTCTCAAATTAAAGTCTTGAAAAGTGTCACGACAAGTCTTCGGTCGAGTGAAATTTAATTTCCGCAAAACTTTGAAAAATAAAGAGATCCGATCAAACGGGTTGTGGTTTTAGTATAGGTACACGAATATCTTGCAACACACAAGAAATGAGCGAAATCCGTGTCCCAAGCAAAATCGACCGGACCGCTCTTACAGAGACACTCTCTTAAGTACTCTAACTACTGGTATATCTGTATTTAAGATTAGTGTACTTAGCCTTTTATTTTGTCTCTATGGTTAGCCAGGATATTGAATTCAACTAAAGAAAGTTGTTTGTACCAGTATAAAATGCAGCCCAAATGATCCAAATATATTCCTATCTGAAAAATTCATCTAAGACATCCTTGAATGGAATGTAATCCAACGGAGTTCATCGAAGAAAGAAAATACATTTACAATACAAAATAAATTTCAATAACCACACAGGTAACATTTGATTTATCTTTAGCTTGTGAGGAACAATGTGAACTACTTACTTTCACTGTAATTTTCGGACACAGTAAAAATTTTAAAGTAGGGATGATTGTGAGCATGTATTGCCTAAAAATAGTTATGACGTGGCAGATTTGTATTTAAAAATATCATAAACTGAACAAATTAATAGCAAGTGAGGGAAATTTGGAAAAATTTTTAATTCAAATACAAAATACATGTATTTAAACTCACTCTTTATAAAATTATCATCTGTAGTTTAGTGTCCTCAAAGATTCCCTTTCTCATATTTCACGAATTTTATGAAAGTCCAAAAGCACTTTTCTTTAATTAAATAAGGGCTAGTTGAGATTTTTAACCAATATGAAGATGTGTCCTTCATGTCCATAGAAACACCTTCTGGAAATTGATCAACTGGAAAACGAGGTTAAAAGGCTTTTGTTCTATTTTCTTTTGCCAAACATGTTTCATGGAAAATTAGATTAAGGGATGTTGAATAAGGTTCTGTTTCCTAGCTATTAACCCAAAAATCGCAGAAATCAATTGTTATACGGTACTATGCACTCACTACCCTGGCTCTCAATAGAAAGCCTCCTTCCCAAAGCAAAATTCTCAAACAAAACTTCCTAAGTTGAAATGTTTTAAGTAGGGTTAGTTGACAAATTTGGTACCAAACTTAATTTTGCCCTTCCCTCTCCTCCCTTGCAAAGTAAAATTGGAGCCAGTTGGGAAGCTAAGACAGATTAACCATTCAACCACGAAGAATCAAAGAACTGATGATAATTACTCATACTGTGTGACAGGTAAACTACAGGCATCAACAGTTATCAAATACAAAATCATGGTTATTTTTTTAAATAATCTAGATCAAAGTATTACCTAAGGTGGCATAAAGGAACTTGAACACCTTTTTGATAACCCAAAATTAGAATAAACTTTCTCTCCTAGGTGTTAAGTTAAGTATCTTATATATGCATGAGGTATTCACAAGGAAACAAGTCCATCTGTCACCATTTTGATGTAAAAGTGCTCATAAATTTCTTTTCTTCATGGAAAGTCAGCTCTGTTTCTACTGTGTTGTGTCCATATATATCCCCCCTCCTTATCAAGATGAAGATTTAGTGATGTTGGACAGAGACCAAGATCATTTTTGGATATCCAGCTATGAAGAAAATAAAATAGACCTGAACTTGGTTATCATTATCAGAGTAGGTTTTCAGGTGCAGGTGTATGCAAATGTCTTTACTTTTTGGCCATGTTGTTTTGCTACCATGTTCCAGCCATATAAGATAACCCTTGCAAGAGAACAAAATAAAACACCCTACATTCCTAAGATATTAATAATGATATCAGTTTTAACAAAAGATAAAATTTATCCAATAAATTTTAGCTAGTGATCACACTGATTTATTTTTGACACTTTTACAGAAGTTACAGAAAGATGACCCACGGTTGATCTCAGTTTACATGTACTCTGTTGTGTTATCACCGAAACAGAAGAGGGGTGCTTATTAGTATAGGGGTAGTTATTGGAATGAGAATGCTTACTGAATAGGGGCACTTCTTAACAAAAACAAATTAGATGGGGGTGCTTATTGGAGAGGGAGCACTAATTAGAATGAGGGCAGTAAATCAAACAACAGTAGGTCATCATTCTCTTGTTCTCTCTCAGATGTCTATTCTCTCTATCAGATAATGGTCATACTTCCAACTCCTCCATCTCCACCCTCTGTTGAACTTTATAACACTAAGTTTGAAAGGCTCACTTACACTAACTGGAAGGTCACTGATGTAAGTCTATGTGACAAGCTTTTGCTATTTCTTAAAAAACCAGTGTAGTAAAACTAAAGAAAGCGTGACCCTAGCACATTGAAACGGGACCTGTCATTCCAAGCTTAAAAATAGATCGATTACTAGGTTATCGAAAAGCGGAAATATGATCCTTGTAACATGCAAAAATGTGTAAAGTGTAATCTTAACAGAACAGGATTTACGTAGGTAAATAGGGTAGAACAAAGCATCATGCTCTCGTTCAGATTAAGGTGTTTACTAGAAAGGAAACTACATGCCTTCCCTCGCATATCCAATCACGTAAAAAATAGCCACCAATAAAGTATATAAGTACTTTGATTTAGCAAATAAAGGTAGATGTAATCAGGACTAGAGTGTGTGCAAGTCTCTCTTCGTTGAGAACCCAAAAACCGGCCAAGTCTAGAATAAAACAAGCAGTCGGCACTTATCTGTTGGCCGCGAAACCTTCCAAATTGTCTACAAATTATGTCAGCCTGACCTGTTCCCAACTAACGGTATCTCAGAAGTGGAAAGTTTTCAAAGTTCGTCACCCATCACATAGTCAACCTTGCCTGAAATAGTCTTACAACCAGATAGAGAAAATACCTTAATATCATTTGGAAAGTATGATATTTCATCTGCCACCATGTTTAAGATGGAATCTGTGACTGGGTGTCCTTTTTCTTCTAAATCGGCTTTGGCACACATTTTAACGTGAGATCTCTCCATCGGCAGAAATGGAATAACGTGATCGATGACAGAATTATCAATTAGCGAGGAATGCCAGAGTCCACCTTCGTTACGATGTTCTTCGAGATGGATTTCTCTTTGTATGTCTATGATCTTGAAATCTTCTCGTTTCTTTCCGTCTTTCATGTGTTTTAAAACAGCCGCATCGATCAAATCACCCCCTCCATTGCTAAGAAATATGAAGGTACTTTTACGATAATCGATCTCGCCTGCATCAGGAGGGTGGTAATCTAAATATGGTTTAAGCACATCTATGAGGCCTTTGGGCATTTTGTCCATTTCGTCGAAGATGAATAGCGATCTAGGACACTTTGTTACAGAATCTTTCACTCGATTGCGCAGCTGTTCCTTGTAAATGTCAACTTTGGGCTGATGAGGGTATTCATGTGTAACCATGATCAGATGAACATGGCCACTCTCCAGTCCCTTCTTGAAGATATGTTCGGCAATTATTTTGCTCACAAAGTTCTTTCCCGTCCCTGTTCCGCCGTTGAAGGAAAGCACTAATGCTTTTGTAGGCGACGTACTCTTCAAATGTGCGCCAAGAACCTTTGGAATGGTCTTTGTGACCAAGTGTTGACCAAACACCCGCCTTTGAAGGGTTGATTGCAAACCAGCAGTCATGTTGGGTTTAACCCATGGGTGACTACAGCTTTCGGTGAAGTGAACATAATAAATTGTAGGTGCAAAATAGACACCTACACCTACACCTACAACAACAACAGCAACTCCCAAAATAATTTCAGGATATAGCGCACTTGTCATAGGTGCACACAAAATTGTCATAAGCAGCACGAGTCTGGCCATGTTCGCCATAATTCTGCAGTATAAAGACGAACGCTTTAGTGGCGTATAGCAGGTGTCTCAGAACACTCTCCGTACTATTCAGTACAACGATTTTCATTGGTTAGTCTCAGTCAAATCACCAATGACCTTCCTAGCGACTTGAATACATTATTTACTCTAAGAACCAAGAAGTTTTTCTCCGGGAACCGCCTCCTGTTTTGCCTGTAGGTTTTTCAAAAAGCTTCCGTCTTATTTAGTACAACAATTTCCGTCAAACAACCGCCACCGAATCTGTAATGACAGCGTCGGATAAGGAGGTATTCTATAGCACAGATTCTGCTCGTAACCACGAAGATAACCACCATCTGTTGGTACACTTCACGACACATACACGCCCATGTAGCCGCATCCCACAAAATCCCACTGTTCGCGAATCAACAAATAGAGAAGCCCTAAAACTGTGCTCTGTTCTGTTGTAAAGCACGCAGGAAGCTGTTCGAGCACGAAAGAAGTATAGGGAGAAACACGAGACGTAGTCTCGTGTTTCTCCCCACTTCTTGAGTGCTCTAATCGCTTCCTAAGTGCTTTACAACAGAATAGAGCACAGTCAAGGCTTCTCTATTTGTTTTATAATAAAGAATCCGTTAAATTCCTCACGCGTTACTTTCAATTTTCAAAATAAATTTTAATTCCAAAGCGAGCAACAGTGTCGTCAGCATGCTCTATTTAACAAATAGATTCCAAGTTGTGGTAAGATAGATTCCAAATGTGGTAAGAACATCAGTGACACACTCGGCTGCGCCTCGTGTGCCACTTTCTGTGATCTATTACTGAACAGACGCACGGCAACTTCGAATCTATTTGTTTTATATAATAAAGAATTTTTAAAAATTTAATGATGACGTCAACTATACGTCTGTCCTCCAATAGATCATGAGTGAGAACCAATCAGAATGCATGCATAACTGAGCTTATTATATAAACTCTCATAAAGCATGCTCTTTCAACCAATGACAGCGCGCGTTATATCTGAACTTTATTATAAAATGAATTAAGCGAGAGGAGTTAAGAAAGAGGCTGGTGCAATTTTTCCCAGTTTGTGCCAAAGAGGATTAGACGTAGGGGATCAAAGAAGACATCTGATTTAAGAACTACGGTCACCACCGCGACTTGTCAAGATGATTTAGAAAATCCTATTCATCAGGCGTTGCAACCTAGACCAATTGTGGATGCTTTGCTGGTAAGTCTTAATTTTGCATCTATTAAAAATATTTTCAATTCTGTTTTTTTACAGTCATTTTAAGCTTAAGTTCTTCTAGCATGTACTCTATAAATTATATTTGGGTGTACCACATGTCAGGAAAAGATCAGGAAAGAAATCATGGAATTTTATGGGAAGTTGGCATGTTGGCATGTTGGCATGTTGGCATGTTAAAAAAAGTTAAGGAAAACTGATATCTGATGCCTTTCCGCCTAAACAAGACCTATTAATAGATCATTGTATACATGCAATATAAAATATCCTAATTGCAGACCCTTGGTATTCATAATTATTTTTGATTTTGTTTAATATTTTATATCTAATGTTAAATATTTATTTGTATTTTGGGTTTTCTGTGCCGTAGTTTCTAGTGCATCTTGTACATGTATGAGGAGGTTAGACGTTTTGCGAGTTGGCACAAATTGTTTTTGGTTTGTACCCCTGGGGCGCATAAAAAATGTGTTTTTTTCACAGTAGCTATGTAGGTTACTCATAACTAGATGTAATGTGGTACTTGTGCTTATGCTAAACAAAATCAATCTTCTACCTTACATATTTTTTATCCTCTACCATCAGGAAGTCAAAGATGTGATTGTTGAAAGAGAACCCAGGGATAACATTTGGATCTATCATTGCAAAATGTGTTGAAGGCACAAGGTGAACAGATTATTTGCAGTCACTGTCATCAACAGTCACAGCAGATAGTTAAGTACACGCATATAAACTGATAATAATTTATAAAAATGCTCCATTAAAATTATTCATCCAAATCACAGTTTTAATGTAGACAATAACTGTATCTCATATGCACATTCATTTCTGTTTATACATTAGGAGGCAACTGCTGTTCCCATCCTCTTTCTTACAGCTTCTCTTTTTTATTGTTGCCAATTATTTCTCCAGTCTCCTTTAAGCACCTTCATGAGCTAGTCAAATGTTTTTTCTATTGAGTTCTAACAACCTGAGTTGTGAAATGAAAGGTCCCAACTACTAGTAGCAGGATTTTAAGCTGTCTTCATGTAGTTATCTTGTTTTGAATCTGACCGCTGTGTCTTTGACTGTGTCCCCATGCCCCTGAGCCATAATTTTCTTCTTTGCATTTCAGTATTAAATTGAGTAATGAATTATATCTAGTAATAAGCATTGTTTATTAAATGTTTCTCAAAGGTTCAACTGCAGCTAGTTCTGTTTATGGGAATTGCATCCATATTGAAGCGACTGAAAAGTTGATGGAAAGCTTTGACAGGGAAAACAACGTCACCACTTCACTTGCCGGAGACACATATTCTCATGGTCACTCTTACCAATAAGATGAATGAATTTTTTGCTTTAGAACGTTAAAATTTTGGAATTATTACTAACATTAATCTTGCTTTGGCAACATTTTTCTGGTTATTTTTAACTCATCCTAATGATTTTGGTCTGAGCTAAATAATAATGTTAGAGCATAATCTGTGTATTTAAACAGCTAGGCCCCCTTCAGAGTGCAGCTATTTATGAATCTTAGTTTATTATATTCTTGGAGAAATGACAAGTGCATCATTTCCTGTAAATAGCTGTAAACAACATATTTTTCCATTTGTATCTGTTAATTAAGTAAAGAATATTTAAAATGATTGTAGCATTTCCACAGTCCACTTACTTTTTTTTCTTGCTGTTTTTCTATCTCAGGAGGAACATCATGACTTATTGCCTTTGAATGGGAATAATTTTACCCTTTTTGTACATGGAATAAAATGTTATGTTGAAATTTTTTCAAGTAATCACATACCCCCCAAAAGTTTACAATGAATTTGAAAATGACATTATTGTGACATCTAAATATCAAGTAATGTACTTATTTCAATAAATTTAAATGTTTCTGGAACACACCCAGCAGATGCACTTATAACAACAATTATAATTTAAAACAATTATACTAAACAATATAAGACTCGTTTGTCTGCACATGATGGTTTACGATGAAAATCAGGTACCAGAAAAAACCAAATAATCAACAAATTATTAGCTGAAGGTTCTGATTTGTTGTATCTCTGAAGTTTTGCCTGTGACATTAACTGAGAATCATTGTATCAACAACGATATAAAAATTGTACATGTATGTCATTCAATTGTCTTTCAAAAAGCTACATTAGCTGATGCAGATGTATTGGACTTCAAGAGGTGGCTATCCTACCACCACTGGCATTTTGCTTGGTACTGTTCCCTGGACCTTCTTGATATACACTATGAAGAAGGTTTTTGTTTTGCGTTCTGTGGCAAAGATAACAGTCTGGACACTGTCATTTGTGATGCTACAGCACCATCCTTCAGATGAGAGCGTTGTACTTCTCTGAAGTCTAGTCATTCATCACTGAGTCCATCCACTGAACCACGAGAAACAGGAAGATAAATTACTATTTATGCTTATGATTTTTTTAATATTTATGCATCATTTATCCTATTATTTTGGTTCCCAGTATGATTCAAGGAGTTCTATTTTAGAGTGTGAGCATGATATAATATATTAATCTAGCTGTCAATGTGAAGACCATGACTTCATTCAGTTTGATTACTGATCAATGTAATAATTTTAAATATTTTTAATCCTTTACCATAGGCTGGTACCTTGTCATGGTAGTGAAGCTTGCGTGTCTTATTGACTCTTCAAAGACCTTGAAATGAGGTCTTCTTTTTCTGGATCAGTTGAGGGGTTGAGACCAGACCAAGACCAGCTCCAGTTCCTCCTACATTCCACTGGGATAGACTTTTAATATGTCTAAATATCACCTGTTTTTATTTGCCTTATTTGAAGAGATCTGCATTTAGGCTAATTATTTCATATTTCATGACATCACTAGGCATCGTGACAGGGTTTACCTTGCTGAAAAACATGTCAGGCAGATGGTGGATCAAGTAGGCCGTGATGTTAGCAATGTTACAGACACAGTAATGACCTCTTTACACCTGTAGTTGCAGCGTTGTGCACCTGCCTTGGGTAGTTTTCTTTCCTGGTGCATTTCGTTCTATGGATCCGATGTCTCTTTTCCAACACCCATTGCTGGACTTTTCATTGCATTAGGAAAGCTTCCCTGGTGTGTGCACTTCTCCCCAATTGGACTTCTTGGAAACATTTTACCCAGACTCATTGGCAATGAACCAGTCAAGCAGTGTCCTGAAGACATGCTTCTACTTCAGCAAACTTCTCCACTCCTGTTTGACATAGTTAGCATTGTGGAGGGAGATCAGCTTCCTGAGGCCTTGACTGCATTTATTATTGACCTGTTGGAAAAAGCAAAGTCTCCATTCAGCAGAAATGGATCACTAGCAGATGCTGTGCAACAAATGGCGTAACGACTTGTATGAACAAAGGTTGTTGATTTCTATTGACTGGAGATGTACCCCGGTTACATCCTCTTTTCAGCCTTTATTACATGTTCTTTCACAACATGCTTTCAGGCACTCAATGTACGCAATGTTGCTGTGATTATATGTAAAACGGTTTTATATCCTCTCTTTTGATCTTTTCCGTGTTTCGAATGCGTTTCTTACAAGGTAAGCTCAATTTAATGTGCATGTGTATGTTGAGGCCTTTGATTGGATGTCGTTGTGCGTGTAGAAAATTTCTTTTTATTACCTGGGCCCGGTGTAAAGGATGAACGCTAAACGCTATCCACCAGAAAAATCAGTATCCAGTGGATAGGGTTGAATGTTATCACAACACTTATAGGTGAATATTGATTCATTCTGTGGATAGCGTCATCCACCCGTTAAACAACCGGGGCCTGGTTTTTTGGGAGTTTTTCTTCTCTTGATTTCCTCCATCAAAGTGATTTTATATCAAACGAGTCCTAATAAATGTAGGTTCATTGCAATTTTTATGCCTTTTTTTGACAGGTCCCCGTCTGATTGTTCACGACAACGCTTGCAATTTGCATTCGTATTGTTTAAATCGCGATCTTGTCTTTTTCAAGAATTCTCAGTTCCTTGTGGATCGATTGCGTTGGCAGGATCATGCAGGTACGTAAATCACCCCAAAACTGGCTTTTTCGGTATGGCCATCTTTAATCTTCGGTGTTCATTTAGCTTTGCTCTCGGGTCTATCCCCTATCGACGTAATGTTTTAATCTCAACTTTTTCAGTACTAATGCAAAGCAATGCAACATGTTTTTTTTTCTTTTTCAGGTTGCTCTGAGGCTTACAACCTCTCCCGTTATCCTCAGTGGGACACTTTAAACAGTCAGGCAGCAGGACAAGCCAATTCATGCTTGAAGTCTGTTAAAGGATCCTTGTCATACATGAACGAAAAGAATACAGTTTTTGGTGGTTATACAGTTTGAGTTAGTTGAAGCTCTTAATAAATGGAATAAATGATACAATAGAACGCGGTGGTTAAAATAAACAGTTTTTGGTGGTTATACAGTTTTAGTTATTTGAAGCTCTTGATAACTGTAATGAATAGTAGAGAAGAACGCGGTGGTTAAAATAAAATAATAAAGAATCCGTTAAATTCCCAAATTATTACTTGCAATTTTGAAAACAAACTTTATTTCCGACTTCTCGAACAAAAAGTGGCCTCCCGTCTCGACATTCGGGTACTTTAGAGAGGGGAAAGGGGTCGAATAACCCACTCTCCAGGCTCTTTAAAAGATGTTGTCTTATCAGCATCCTGTCAAATGTCAGATTAGAAGGATTGAGGCCATGTGGTAGCGACACCAGAAAAGCAATAGCATAAACTCTACAGTCATCGTAATTGTGCTGGTGTTACACATTTGGTACAATGGCCTTAAAACTGGTTCGTTCCTCGTATATGATTGGTGCAATGTGTTTCAGGATTTGTGAAAATTGGCCTTTTTGAACAGAAAATTAAAAAACGGCCCCAAAGTTATATTTTCCAATCCTCTTGCGTGAGGGAACTGCTCCCTCAGAACAGGCTGGGCTGCACCTACAATATGGTCGGTAAGCCAGTCTCTAGTTGAGATAGTGCTAATGTCCTGTTCTGAGAGATGAAATTTACCGGCCTTTGGGGTGCTTCTGTAAGAGATCTTTACAAAGTCTACTTCATCATCATTTTCGCTTTGCTGGACCAGGTTTGTGTTCGTTGTCGCGTTTACGGCAAGGATGATGCATGTGTTTGCAGTGCTGGTTATGCTCGAGGTTGTGTTGATGGAGTAGATTTTGTTTGCGTTTGTGGTGCTGGCGATACATGTGGTCGTGTTTGGTCTGTAAGGGGTGCTTGCCTTTACAGTTTGAATGGCGTTTGAATTTGAACCATTAGAGTTATTCACGTTCACACTGCGGTTTATGTTTACTTGAGCCTCGGCGCTTGAGTTGGCATTCTTGATGTGTGCGAGTTTCGGCTGTTTGTTTCAGAAAGCGAAATTATCGATTGGAATACGGCCGAACGCTGAATACGAATTGAGTGAGCAAACAGATACATGGAAATCTCGGACGATAACAAATTTCCTGCCTTTGCGAGTTTGGACCATTCAATTGTCTGGGAGTTAATCGACTGTAACATTTATCTTTCCTCTCCATTTCCGGAGTTTTAGCATCCTCCTTTTGACAGATTTCGTGGAGGTGTCACTATGTTGTAGTTGTGATCGGCCATCCATAAAAAGGAGGCATCGGAGAAGTTTTGTGGAGTCTGTAATATAGGTAAGCATCGAAAAAAAAAGCAAACATCTTACGGCTAATACAAAGTCATCTGCGGAAACAAAGTACGTATTCGTTTCTACTCTGTTTTGCGGGTCTTAAATGCTAAATGTCAGGCTAAATGTCGTTCATGTCAAGGTACTTTCAAATTGTTCCAACTCTAACAGAGAGTGGCTTCAGACAAGGAAACCAGTGGTTAACACCAAACTTTGAGTCTAGTGACTTAATGATACTCAATAAAGTTGCATTATCTGTTTATCCAGTTATAACATAGTAAGGCCATGTCATTAAATGAAGCCTTGACCCTAACTTCAAAGTAATTTACATTATTAATCAGACATATTTCTTCAGTGCATTCAAAGTACTAGGGGCCTCTTTCGCTTTATAGTTAACCCTTTAACTCCCATGAGTGACCAAGAAAGAATTTCTCATTACAATATCAATACAATATTATTCAGATAAGTGATGAAAATAAAGAAAATATCAATTTGAGGATAATTTGATCCAATACTAAATTCTCTGAACTAACATTACAATAATTGTATGGTTGACATTAAGGAGAATTACAAATTTAATCTGGGAGTTAAGGGGTTAATGTAGGTAGTGTGAGATTAAACTGTTCCAAAATGGGTATTTGCAAAGGCAAGATCATAAACCGGAAAAAAACTCTTGTTCCTCTGGTACAGGGGTCATCAGGAAATCTATGGGCAAGACTAAAGCATTGCTGCACGTATGTGCTGTTGGAAGGATGAACTAGAAATTGACATGTACCTTATTAGATTCTTCACGAAAAGCAAATTTAATAGAGGGGTGAAGGACAAATCCTTGGACTGGCTCCTGAGAAGCCCCGTAACAAATACCAGAACATGATTTAAAGTGATTCCGTCTCTTCGGCCACTTGAAGCTTCTCGTACAAATTTAACAAATAAAGCATATACTTGCTTTTCTCTTAGGCAACATGTGGATCCCTCTCGAGAGAGTTCAGGGGACAATGACTTGAGAAGCAATCTTGCAGTAAGCTTGTGTGTTGTTGGCCTTATTAAATGAAGCAATACTAGCACTTTTTGAAAGATCTTAAAAAATCCAAACACATCTAACCTTGTTGCAAATATTGACAGTGCAACGGTCATTGTCAATTGACTGGTCCCAATTGAAGAGTCTAAATTGCCTTGTGGCGGACCTTTACAAACTCGAAATCATCAACGCCAAGAAAAGGAAATTTAGCCGTTAAAGATTCCTTTACTGCTTTTCGTATGGTGGTTTTGTCCGTACACTCTTCTAGTACCTGCATTTCGTTTGCAATGATAGAGTTCCATTTTAGATGATGAAGCTCCTCCGGTTCATTCGAGTTCTAGCAACGTAACAAAGCATATTCCAAAGCCTTCTTTTCTTTCTTCACGGTTTTATTAGCTGTGTTATTACGTTGGTAAGGGCCAGATGCCGCTCTCAAACGTTCTTCTCAGTTCAATCGCCTACAGAGGCCGGCGGATATACTTTCCCGAGACATTCCCTCAGCAAGCCTAAGAGTTTCATTGACCGTCGCCTGCGGTATCGCTGCTGAACGACTGGAATTCACAGCAGGGTTCGAAGTAGAACTGGGGGACGAAGACAAAAGCATGAATGCTTCCCTTAACAATTCGGACACTCTTCCTACACAACTCTCGTCCTTATTTACTGACGATACCGGAGCACGCGAAAACTAAACAAACTGGCCGCTGTTGGTGAATGTGGGACATAGTCACGTGACCCTGGTCGAGCTCGCCCCAGGAAGTTTAAATATAATTTCGCAGTTTAAATCAAATACATATTCGTAACTTTACATAAATTTTAAAAAGTTAAAATGTAAAATAAATTTAAATTTACAGTATTAAATAGTTTCAAACGCGTTTATATAGGAATTTGTTTTAGATTTAAATCAATTTTGGACACGAAGTTTAAATTTAAAAGAAAAAAGTTTAAATCAAATACAAAAATGAAAGGATTAAATATTGCTACAAATGGGCAGGCATCACGAAGACAACATCGGGCGAGCTCGGATTTCGTAATCGGAAATCTACTCGAGATGACCTCCTTCTGACGGATTTCTGAGTACTCTTTCCGGCCAAACTGAGCTGCCGCGCATGCGTTTGTAAAAGCAACGTTGAGATTAAGATTGCGTGCTCCTCTTGTCGCCCGCAATAATACTTCTGTATTATATATTAAAGTTCACACGGCAACCAGGTGGACAATCAGACATGATTGGATGCTACTCTGCTTTCCAGATTAATGAATGCAACCGAAGAAGTTACAATTCATAGACCCAACTCTTCGACACTCCTGTCTAGTGCCTTCATCAGGGGTGACTTCTGTATTGTTTAGTAAAGCAATTTTCATTGTTTAGTCTCAAATCAATTGACCAATGACCGTCCTTGCTAGAGTAGATATTTTAAACAATTATACACTTGCCACCAGAAGGTTTCAGATCTTACTCCCTCGATACTTTAGCGAGGACAATGTCTTCCGAAGAGGTAGGACGTAAACCTGAGGGAAAAAGGGAAACTTTTGAAATCTCTGCTGAAAGTGACGGTGGCGAAAATGCAAACGAACGTCATGTATTTGAGAAGGACCCGAAGGGAGGTAAAGAAACGCAGGAAAGTAATACACTTACTAGGGAAATAATTGACGTAGACAATCATCAAGAGAAAAACACACCTGCTCTTGAGCCTGTAAAGAAAGCGCCCGATAAGCAGGAATCAACTACCCCTGACCTAAAAGATGGCAAAGACGATCAGACACTTGCTGGTGAATCTCCGAAAACAGAGTTGGGTGAAGAGCAATCAGATCCTGAGAGACAAGGACTACTGAAACTTTTCTACACCTTGCCCTCTTGTACCAAGTCACAATCAGGTTATTTTTTCTTTACGGGAATTCTCCTGGTCGCCGCAGTAGTATGTTTTGTAGCTTTCTTCCTTGGTCCTCCCAAGAACGACATGAAGGCTGACTTTGAGTCGGAGGGAGTCTTTCGAAATGGGCTTGGGAATTTACAGTCCAAGTTCACTAATCAGACCGACCGGTTCTGGAAGATTTTAAGAATTCGCGGATCGACTCATCTACGGAGTAAGGATCCCTCACGACCACTGGTGTTCTTACTGGCTGCACCTCCAACAGCACATGAATGGGTGGATTGCCTGGCCATTAAACTAGCAGAAATGTTGGATTCAAGACATAAAAATACTCTGGCTAGATTTCATGGTGAAAAAGAGAAAGCAAATCCTCCAGATCAAACCAAAATAACAATGGACAATTTCCTGAAGGAAAAATTTGACGTTTCTCACAAGGCAGTGCTCATCCATCACCTTGAGCTTCTCCCACCACCCTCACAACTTCTGTTTCACTCGTATTGTGATGATCAAAACGCACCATATAAGCACTTGGCCATTATTTTTACTGTACATATGCCAGTAGAGCCTAGCCCATCTCTGTCTTCTAAACAAGCGGAGGAAAGTGTTAAGAAATATCTTTCACATGATGTATGGGCAAAGGGTGGTAGGAAGGCAGATACTTCCCTCCTATCCCGTGTTGCTGACACTGTGGTGCTCATGAATGGTGAAACTAGTGGTTTAGCAAGGGACTTTTGTTCATAGTCCACTAACTGTTGGCAGTTACTGGCAGGATGAGTTAGTGAATCATCGTCACTCAGTCAGACATGTAGTATTTAACAGAATGTGGCAAATTTAGAGTTTAGTCAACCAGGAGATGTTGTCTTGATTGAGCACTTAATTCTCAGGAGTAGCTGACAAAAAATATAAGGTTTTCAGGCAGGAGAACTATTATTAAGATCTAGAGTGTGAAAGGACTATTATTTGTAAGCTGAGGTCAAATATGTAACAGTTGATTGCTTCCTTTTCATTATGGAAATGGACTTGCCAGGCTATTTTGGTTTGTTTTCTGTAGATTTTCACAAAACAAGAACTATTGACTATTCACAGAATACAGTGGATGGTTAACAATGCATTCAATTCAAAAACTTAATTTACATTTTTGTTTGTTAGTCAAAGCTAGACCTTTCATACACATGTTGATTTTAGGCTGTGAGGCAAACTAAAGGTAGTCCAAAGACTTGTCAAATTTGATTAAGATTGTGCCATTCACCTTCAAACCCAGTGAAACTGCTGAGTGTTCACAACAACTTGATTTCATCAAAGGAACATTTTTGGGTCTAAAAGTTTTTTGTGGTTTTGGGATATTTATTTTAATTTGAGAAAATTTGAACAACAAGTTTGTAGGTGACCTAGTTTTATTTACTAGGTTTAGTTTTAGGGCTTAAAGCTCAATATAATGATTGCTTCTCTGGCAGTGAAATATTATCCTGACCTTTGGAATGATGTGCTGTAGTTCAAAAAGTACTGGATTGCATGCACTGAATTTTCAATTGTTTTTTTACTATTTGCAAGCACCCTCATTCCACTACAGCTTAATAGCCATTTTCGTTAGAGCCCTCGTTTATAATTTTGATTGCAAATCAGGTAATATAAATTTATTAAAGTTTTGTTCAGGAAAATTTTTTCATTTACATACTCCCCCAATTAATTCTTTCTAAGAGTTCTTCACTGACTTTAAAACTGGCTTTTAATAAGTCAGTTTTGTAGTGATCCAGCTTTTTCCTGTTTTTGACATTGTTTGCTGGTGTTCTTGTGCATGATTTTGATTCTGATCAGAAGTATCCAATTTTGGAAACCTGTGTCTGATTGTGGAAATGGGTTAATTAGTTTGAACACTAGTATCCCCTTTTTAGATGCTTGTGACTGATTTTTGACACTAGTGTCTGTTTCTGGTAGTTTGTGATCAATCATTTGGATGTAAGTTTCCAGTTTTTTTATGGTAGTGAGCGATTTCAGACACTAGCATCCTATTTTAGACACTGGTGTTTTTATTTTCAATGCTAGTGTCATGGAGAAGAATGTTCACATCATCATCGCAATAGTTGTGATCAAACCTTTGAATGTTGGTGTCCAATTTTCCACAGTAGTGTGCGATTTCAGACACCAGCATCTTATTTTAGACACTAATGTTTTTAGGTAAGATACAAATATCAGAATTGAGACACTAGCATCCAGTGTTAGACACTGGTGTTCAATTTTAGACACAAGTGTCTGATTTTAGACTTTTACTGTCTGCTGTGAGTCACTAGTCACTGATATAGGAAACTAATGGTTGATTATATCATAAGGGTCTGATTTTGAACACAAGGGTCTGATTTTGAACACAAGGGTCTAATGTTAGACACTGGTGTCTGACTTTAAAAAGTGTCCAATTTTAGGAACAAGTGTCTGATTTTAGGCACTACTGTCTAATTCTAAACACTAGTGATTAACTATGGACACCAGCACATGATTTAAGACACTAGTGTTCTATGTAGATACTAGGATCCAATTTGTTGACACTATAGTGTCTGATTTTAGGCATCAATGTCCAATTTGAGATATTAGTATCTAGTTTAGACACTAGGATCTGATTAAGATACCAGTGTCCAATTTAGACACACGTTTGATTTCAGTCACTGCTGTCCAAGCTTAGATGCTGGTGTATGATTTTTCTAATTTAAGACACTACTGCCCGATCTTACACACTAGTGTCCAAGTTTAGAAGGTGGTGCCTGATTTTAAACAGTCAGGCAGTGACTGATTTTGGACACAAGTTTGGTTTTAGGCACAACCATTTTATTTCCCAACAGAGCTAAGTTGTTCTCGTATTAAACCTAGGTGACTTTTTTTTTTAAACTCTTAGTGCACCTTACTATCTGGATGGTTATTTTCTGTTAAGATTTTTCATAGATAAGTGATATTCTGTTAAGATTTTTCATAGATAAGTGATATTCAGCATTCATGTTTTCTGAGCAGGGTTTTATAATTTATGTCGGGTCCTATATGCATTGACTGCCAGACACTGAAGACTTCTGTAATACAAAACCCTCTGATGAGAGTTTTACTCTCAGCAAGTGTTTAATTACTCTAGCTACAAGTATATCTGTATTTAAGATTAGTGTACTTAGCCTTTTATTGTCTGTATGGTTAGCCAGGATATTGAATTCAACTAAAGAAAGTTGTTTTGTACCAGTATAAAATGCAGCCCAAATGATCCAAATATATTCCTCTGAAAAATTCATCTAAGACATCCTTGAATGGAATGTAATCCAACAGAGTTCATCGAAGAAAAAAAATCCGTTAACGATAAAAAAGAAATTTCAATAACCACACAGGTAACATTTGATTTATCTTTAGCTGGTGAGGAACAATGTGAACTACTTACTTTCACTGTAATTTTCTGACACAGCAAAATTTTAAAGTAGGAGTGATTGAAAGCATATATTGCCTAAAAATAGATATGATGTGGCAGATTTGTATTTAAAAATAACATAAACTGAACAAGTTTATAACAAGTGAGGAAAATTTGGAAAAATTTCAATTCAAATTGGAAATACATGTATTTATTTGAACTCACTGTTAATTAAGTTATCATCTGTAGTTTAGTGTCCTCAAAGACTCCCTTTCACATTTTTCATAAATTTTATGAAAGTCCAGAGCACTTTTCTTTAAACAAGGGCTAGTTAAGATCTTTTACCAACAGGAAGATGTGTCCTTCATGTCCATTGAGGCACCTTCTGGAAAATATTGATCAATTGGAAAGGAAGACTAAAAGGCTTTTTTTCTATTTTCTTTTGCCTGGCATGTTTTGTGGAAAATTAGATTAAGGGATGTCAAATTAGGTTCTATTTCCTGGCTATTAACCCAAAAGTTACAGAAATTAATTGGTATACAGTACTATGCACTCACTACCCAGGCTCCCAATAGGCAGCCTCCTCCCAAAAAAATATTCTCAAATAACGCTTCCCCAGTTGAAATGTTTTAAGCAGGGTTAGTTGACAAATTATGTACCAAACTTAACTTTCCCCTTCCCTCTCCTCCCTTGCAAAGTAAAATTGGAGCCAGTTGGGAAACTAGGACAGATTAACCAATCAACCATGAAAAATCAAAGAACTGATGATAATTACTCATACTGTGTGACAGGTTAACTACAGACAACAACAGTTGTCAAATACAAAAGGATTAATGGTTATTTTGTAAATAATTTAGATCAAAGTATTACCTGAGGTGGCATAAGGGAACTTGAACTCCTTTTTGATAACCCAAAATTAGAACAAACTTTCTCTCCTAGGTGTTAAATAAAGTATCCTATACATGTATAAGGTATTCACTAGGAAACAAGTCCTTCTGTCACCATGTTGGTATAAAAGTCATGCCCTTGCAAACTGAATTCCCAGTTTTGTGGGAATTCCTAGGAATTCTCAAAAATTCCCAACCATGCAAATAAGCTCTGATTTAAAAAGCTTGGAACTACTAGGAATTTCTGGGAAAGGAAGACTCCAGTTTTGTGAGGACTCGGAATTCCTAGGAATTCTCAGCTATACAAACTACCTATAATTCAAGAAGAGTGGAATTCTTGGAAATTTCTCGGAATTGAATTTTAGGCAATTTAAATACAGTGAGGTCCACATAAATTCTAAGAAATTCTCAATACCTTGAATGTGAAGATTTTAAGAAAAGGAGTAATTTCAGAGTCTTAAAGCTTTGACTCAATAAAAGGTATGCTATACAAAATCTACCAAGAGATATACATACATGTACAATTTATTATTCAAACTAAGTTCTATTATAATAAAGTTCGGATATAACGCGCGCTGTCATTGGTTGAAAGAGCGTGCTCTATGAGAGTAGAGAACATAGAGCTGAGCTAAAGCTGTCACGCCATCTGCCAATTGTACTATATTCGAGCTTTTCCGGGACTTCTTTTTAGCTTTTTTCCGATAATTGAAAGTGAAATTTCGGAACTGAAGCGAGCCGGCAAGTAGCAACAGAAGAATCAAACAAAGGTTTGTAAACATACCAGGCGCCGTAATTTACGTTATTAAAACGTGAGCAGATACGAAAATCCAAAAGGAACAACAAAATAAACATTCCGAGTTTTAAAGATTTTCACGCTCAGTTAGATTGCAAGCTTACGTAGGGTAATAAAAATCAAACACCGCTAACACTCGTATAGTATAAAAAGTTCAGTGTTCAAAAACAAAACAGAGCAAAACAGAAATGATTAAAAATATAACCAAGCTGGCATAATTGTTAAAATTCATACTAATCATGACGGTGTCTGAGCGAATATGATCATGCTGAAGTTCATCGCGGCTCGCTCATTATGGCGATCTCCGGTCATCACGGTAAAGCAAGCCTCAGAAACTACATCGGCCGCCCTTCGAGTGAAAAAATAAGAGCTTGCTCTGATATCCTTTCCGATACGTTGAGTGGAAAGTCACATCAGTCACTGCAGCCGAGTTTTGCGGCGCTGTCATCACGAGCGATCTTCATGTTCCGGTAAATTCGGCTGTCGTTCATTCAAAAAACACTCGCCTTGAACAGTTTGTTTTGTACCTTGTCATGTGAAAAAACTCGCGTGTTTTTATTCGGCTGAAGTTCACTGAACATTTCACTTCAAGATTCTGTATTGGAGACTCGGCATAAAGTGTTAAATTCGTCTTGCCGAACTATTTTAGTTTGTAAACTATCTTAGAATGTGAACTTTGATGGTTTTT